GTAATCTATATAAAGTATTAAGTTCTTATAATAATTAAACAGCAAAAAGACCCTGACAAGAGCATGAGTTTAAATTTCTCTTGTGTGAGAATCTCTTTAGCAAATTATGTATAAATTAAACATGTCTATAAGAGGAGCACATCAGATTAAGTGTATGTTTGGTTTTAATTTATATTTGACAAAAATTTATTTAATGAATTCAACTACTTGTTGAATTTGGTAAAAGCAAATCCTAAATATGATTTAAATGTGCTTTTGAGAGTTATCCAAACATGTTCTAAATTTGGACAGTTTGCATAAGATTTACTTTTTTCTTTCAATATATTCTGTCTCTTATCTTTATTTCTTTTTCTAATTTTGGTGATATTTTTTGTGGATTTTTTTTTTTAAACCTCAGGGTACTCGAATCAATAATTTCATGCCTATCAGAACGGACCTCGCCACTGATGTATCAACGAGTTAATGAAACGTAATTATTTTATGAGATAATGACAATTAAGTCTCATGAAACTAAACAATACTTTATAGTCACCTATTTTATAAAATTTTCTAAAAAAATTGTTGTAAATATCATTAAGTAATGGAAAATTTAAGAATTTTAATTACAAATTAAATATTTAAATTCTAACATAATTCTCAATTTATTGTTGAAATTCATGTTTGCGTCTTTTTGAATCCATATCTACAGCTCATTTTTCAGAAATTTTGTTGGGGACATAAACATTATTAATTTGATCTTTTGGGATTTTACTATGATTCTCGTTTAATTTATTTATTTATTTATTTTTTCTCTTCACTCTTAGTTTGTCATATTTTTTTTATAAACTTGATTGACATATAATAGTGATTAAATACATAATTTGCTTTAATATGGGATCAGAATGGGACCTTGACACACATGGGTTTTGGACAATTTGCAATCTGGACACAGAATGGTTCATCATTGCTTGCTGATTCTGGGTGGCATCAAACTCTGATTTGGAGGATCACTTGGTTTCATCTTTTTTTATCATTAAAGATCCCCAGATTTGTTCTTCTTTTTAGTCATGTGGTTTTAGTAGTCTTTCATCTACTTGTTTAACTCAAACTATTGTTTTTCAGCATTGGAAATGAAATAACCCTTACCTATAATTTTAGTTTTTTTTAATCTGTAATTTAAGAAGTGACAATTGTCTTTTTAATTAAAAAAAAATGTGGTCATGGATCTGAATCGCCTATTTGTTTGGTTAGTGAGGAATAGAGAGGAGGAGAGGTAAGTGGGATTTTAATAAGTTAATTTTTTTAAAAATAGATTAATGAATTTCTAAAATTTTGGAAAAATTACACCTACATCTTGTAGAAGAGAATTTATTATCCAAAGTTTAATAAAATTCACAAAATATTTTTAAGTCTCAAATCTTGCGTATTCACAATTTGGTAAAGTGTATTTACAATTGAACAACAGGCATTTATAATTTATAAAGAAAAATGACAACTTATAATAACAAGTTGTAAATGCTTGTTACTCAATTGTAAATGCCTTTTGTCATATTGCGAATACGCATGATTTAAGAATTAAGAGTATTTTGTAAATTTTATGAAATCTCTTGTAATAAATTCTCTTTCATGGGACTTAAATATAATTTTCTATAAAATTTTAATAAAGTGAAGATATAAGAGGAAAGGTTAAAAAAATTAATTGAAAACTTCCAACTAAAATTTTTTCATTTCTTTTTAAGAATTGAACTTGTTAAAATTTCTTCATTTCTTTCTTCAATCAAACAAAGTTAGGCTTGGTTTAAATGGAGGGAGAACCAGAGAAGTGGAAAGAAAAAAGAAATAAGAGAAAATTATTAAAAAAATTTAAAGACGCATTAATTTTTTGTTAATTTTTTAAATTTTCGCTCATAATTTTCTTTTTTTTTTTTCCCCCTTCTCATTCAAATTAAGAGTTAGTGTTGCACTATTGAGTAGCCTTCTAGGAGATCTTCTCCTAACCAAAGGTAATAACATCAATGAGTCTTTTGGGCCATTTTGGACTAATTCAGTTCAAGAAAAGTGTTTAGGCCCTAACCTTCCCTTTCGAATAAGATGAAAATAGATATAAGGGAAAAAAATATGACAAAAAGTTAAAAAAAAGAAAGACATTTTTCTTCCCTAGTATAAAGTCTTTTCCTTTAATTTTTTTTTTCTATCAGAAGACAAAAGTGAAAAAAAAATATTTTTTAGTTTTCCTTTCCAGAGAACAAGAGTAAAAAAAAAAAAATCTTTAGTTTTTTCTCTTCTCTATTTTGTTCTCAACCCAAATAAAAGCCAACCATTATTCCCTATTCAAATCTTTAAATTCAAGCAATGGCAATCATACCTAGCTCATTAGGGTGCCTTCTGTAATTATGATCTTTCTTATTTTAAAAAATTATGATTCTATCAAAATTTGTTACTAGTTTGTTAATTATAACATCATATTTGCACAAGAAAATATGTTTATATATGCATGTATGTATGTATATAATAACTTATACTATTTAAAATTCATTATAGTATAACTCTTTGAAAACTTCATTTAATACACAAAAAGTATCCATTTCAATAAATGTGCAAGCTTCCATGATATGAATTCCAGATTCAATTTAAATGATAGTAATTTTTATATTTACAGTCTCCTTGATTTTGTTCAATATCATCGCTGATATTTCCTTGTTTAGTCAATTCTTAAATTAATAATCAAAGGTTCAGAGTTAAATCTTAGGTTTCAAAATCCCTTTCTTTTTGGTTATTTTCAAAGCCTCTTTTTTTTAAAAAAAAAAACATGAGTTAAGAATGTCAATTCAAACAAAAATTTCATTTACAATCTCAAAGTTATATTTAAAACTTAAGTATTTATTTGCAATTGAAATTTCAAAACTTGTAATTTTCTGAATAGATGTTTTCAACTCATTTTAAAAAAATTTATTAAAAATCTAACTATTATTAATTCAATCCTTCAAGACTTAATTGTTGTTCTCTCTTGTCAAAAATCTTCCTAATTTTTAATTCCATGCATTGGGTTGGGCCGACCAAGCAATGGTGAAAGCCTAATCCACTATAAAGGATAATGATCCATAAGGAAGCCTCAAAATTTTAGTACTCAAGCCCATTTAGAAAACTGTAGAGCCTTCTTTACCCTACAAAGAAAGAAAGAAAAAAGAAGAAAGAAAGAAAGAAAAAAAGAAAAGAAGAAGAAAGAAAGAAGAAAAAGAAGAAGAAAGAAAGAAGAAAGAAAGAAGAAAAGAAAAGAAAGAAAAGAAGAGAAAAGAAGACCGTAGAGCCTTGTTTGTTTTCTTTGTTTGTCAGATCAAAACAGAGATGGGTTAGATTTAGTTTTAAAAAAAAAACTAGCCTATAAATATAGTGAATTAAGGTTTGAATCGAGTTATGAATGATGTGCCTTGTAAAGAATGTAATGTAAGCTGATAGAGGTATTTACAATTAGTGCTCAACAATACATTGAACATGATTACCTTTAATGGAAGAATATCCATATCTAACAAAAAAAAAAACATAGAGAATTTTTTTATACAAAAACAAAGATTATTGTTAGAACAAATCATTCATTCCCCCCCCTCTAAGCACATTTTGATTAAACAATACTCCCTCCGTTTATAAGCATAAAAGAAAATAATTAATTTTCACAATTTAAGAAAGTTAGTTAAATATAATAATTATGTTTGAAATTAAAAAAATTAGATTATTATCCCTGTAATTAATGAAACAAATTTCTATAGTGAAAATAAACATTGACTTTATCAAAAAAAAATTAAGAAAAATGTAATAAATGTTTCTTGAAATTTGTAGTTTTACTTATAAATAAAAATAAAAAGACACATGATAGTTTCTTTTATATTCAAAAAAAGGCAGTATCATTTAACTCTTTAAAAAGAAGGTTTTTGTCAACATTTTATTTATTATCTAAATATCATTACTAATTACATTTGTTGATGAACAGAGAAGGGAAACCCAAAAAACACACTAAAGATTAGGAAAAACAGAAAAAAAAAAAAAGGAACCCACAGGAGAATCGCCAAGATCTTTCAAGCAGCAACAGTCAGCAGGGGTGCAAACTGAAAGTCACAGAAACATGACAAGTTCTGCACGAAGTGATTTCTAAAATTTACATGTGGCCAAGACAAAGGCAATAAATATAGAACCTTGAAACAAGAAATCTTTATAATATGTTTGCATGATAAGAAATTTGAATTCGAACTAAATGTATTATTCAGATAAATAAAAATTCATGCCAAGTACATTTTATTATTTTAATTTATTAGAATTTCAAATATTCACTCTAACCTTCTTTCAATTGTAAATTCCAACCTTTTGTTTTCTTGATAAAAAAAAAAATCCCAATATAAAATTCAAATGCCTTGCCCCCGCCATCAATTTAGTTCAATAAAAGATAGTTCTTTCTGGTTCTCTTCTTGCTAGTTCTTCAACTTCTCCAATCTCCTCTGTTATTATTGCCGACAATCTCTATATTAGAGTAGGTGATTCAGGTCAAACTTGAATCCACCAAAAAAAAAAAAATTAAAACTAAGCTTGACTATATAAGCTTTTTTAAAAAAAATAAGATACTTTAAACCCACTTCAAATAACTCAGTCAAAATTGATCTGGCACAAATAAGCACTACCATTGAAATTATTGACTACATATGTATATATGGTTGGTGATTTTTGATAAGCCCATCACCAAATCTAGTTAAAAGGGTTAAGTTTAACTATGTGGACTCTTTTGAAAGTGTATGCTATTTTAATATTGTTCTGAATAAATCCAACCTACCTTAATTATCGGCTCTAATCTCTACCAGCATTCATCCATCTTCCACTGTATCGTCCATCATCACAACTTCTGTTCTTCAAGTTTGCCATTACATTCTCAATCATCAGCTTAAGATTTTAGCACGCATGATTCATGGTTTAAAGCATTAGAATTTAAAATTGTTTATTCTATCCAAATAATAAATTTTAAATACATGAATTTCAAATTGAAATCCAAAATCCAAAATTCCAACACATTATTAATGTAAACCATATATCTTGTGCAAGAGAATTTACAGCACTATCTTTAACAAGGTCCTATGAATTAATCTAATCTATGTGTAATGCTATACTCTAATCTAACACTAAGTCTTTATGGCAGCTTGAAGCTCAAAATTGGACACAAAATGGGGCATATCATCATCCCACTTTATATCAAGAACAGAGAAAAAGATTAGCTAAATGCAATCTCCTGAAGCACTTGAAGTGTCTTCTGATGGACCTGCAAAATCAGAAAGGCAAAAATGAATTGTTTCATTCGGAAAGTCTCACGCGTGACCATGAGGTTTTAGTTCTTCAAGGTGCCAAATCTTCCATATCAAATCTCAGCAGATATTATGCAGAAGTGAATAGTTTTTAGGGAAATGGTATATTAGTCCTCTATAAAGAAAATAATGGCAAGCAAGTCCCTCCAATAACAAGCCACTCACAAGGCCTTTAATTGTCCAAAAAACAAAAACTGAAGGGCAAAAATCCCATTATTCTAGTTTAGAATAGAAATAATATAGCTTTCAGCTCCTCCATTTTCTTTCAATTATTGATTTAGTCCTTCAAGTTTAACTCAGTTAAATCAATCTTTCTAATTTATTGAGTTAAAGAATTATAGTGCCTAAATTATACTGAATCCAAAAACTTTAAAAATTGAGTTTTTTGTATCAAGAAAGTTCAAGGACTAAGTTATTTCTGGTCAAAAAAAAACTAAATTAAATTAACAGTTGAGAAAACATTCAAGGATCAAAAGTTACATTTTTCCCTTTAGAACATCAATTGTAATTTATTCAAAAACCATTTTTTTCAGATATGATATCACAACTCAATTTACAATTGATCTTGTGAAAATTTACAGCTAAATTTCACATAAAATATCAAAATTGTTTCTCCCCCTAATTTACAACTCACATTCTAAGATACAACTCAATTGTTTAGTATTTACAAGATCTACAAATGTTCTATGTTATCAATCAAGCAAGACCATTTTCATCCATCAAGTTTTTTCCCGTTTTTTGGACAATTAAGGACCTTGGAACTTGTGTGTCATTTTGCAAATTTGATGATCCATCTGCCATTTTCCCTAGTTTCAAAACCAAGAGGCAATACCTTAAGTGCCCTAAACAGTTAGTCTAGCATAACTTACTCCTACTGGTTAAAGAAGTTTGATTGAAGGCAAGGTTGAAATAAATCAAGGAAAATAAAAACAATGAATTAACTAGTAAAATTCTGCAGAAACTTTGGCATACAATGGAAAGAGGAAACTTAGCGCAAGAAGTAATCTTATTCCATTTGACAAATTCATTGACAGAAAAATAAACTGATCTTGCATTCAGAAATCTTTAAGAATGTGATAGGAATAAAGGAATTCACCCATTCTAGATGCTGTGCAGTGATGCCAGAGTCTGTTCCAGCATATATTCCACTCAAGACCTAGCATGGCATCACAACAATGCAGGAAGATCAGATTTCAAACACATAAAAACAAAGGAGAATTTCATCTAAGGACCATAGTAATTAATTATTTTCAAATCAAGCCTAAAAAACTCTGAAAACACATAGTAGGTTTGAAGGACCTAATTGAAATAAAATTTCTGAACAAAATGACGAAATTGCCCTAATGTTTAAAGACAAATAACGTTATGAACTTGACAAGTAATGCAAGAAAATTAACAAGTAATGTTAGCAATTTTACAAGTAAAGTTAATAATTTAACAAGTTGTGATAAGTGAATTTAACATAAGTTAGATAATGTACAAGTAATGTTATGGACTTAACAAGTAATGGAAGGAAATTGACAAGTAATGTCAACGATTTTACAAGTAGAATTAATAATTTAACAAGTCATGATGAATGAATTTAATACAGGTTAGATAATGTACCAATAATGTTATAGACTTAACAAATAACACGAGAATTAATATGTAATGTTAGTGATTTTACATGTTAATAATTCCCTTGAACATTCAAGGACTTTTGTCATTTTGCTTCAACATTTTATTTCACTTTGATCCCAAATTCCTACAGTGTAATTTCAGCATTTGTTGGATCTGATTTGTAAATAACTAGCTACTGGGGTCCTCAGATGCTACTGGGGTCCTCAGATGAAATTCTCCCAAAAAACGAAAAACAAAAGACATGGAAATGAGTTAGAATGTCTAAGGTTAAATTATTTTGTTGGTCATCTAATTTCTTTTTCAATTTTTACATTGGCCTTATAGTCTACCAGTTAGTAATCAGACCACTACAGTTTAGATATAATTTGGTGGTTCCTGTCACAGGCCACTTAACAAATCGGATTTCACTAGATCATCTTCCTTTAGCCTTTTTGATGGCATGAACATTTTCAGAGAGCAAAGATTGCATATGGTTAGCCACATCAACAAAGTTTAGTGGGCACTAATGAAGTTTCATTGATAGACATAGGGGGCAAAAAAACAAAAAAAAAAACAAAAGTTAAAACCACATAATAGAATTTTTTATTGTATAGACCACATTGAAACTTTAGTTCTTAACTACTTAACCTTGGTGACATCATAGGCCAGTCAACATATTGGATTTTTTGCAATTGTCTACGACTAGGATCTACCTTTATCCAGTCTTTTGACTTGATAATGCACACTCAGTGTGTCAAGATGGCATATGGTTAGCCACATCAATAAAGCTTAGTAGTAGCAAGGGTTCATTGACGGAGAATAAATTAGAAAAATTAAAACTATAAAAATAGACCCAATTACAAATTTCAAACCATGAAAACCAAATTGAATCTCTAACCACTCAACCTAAGATGGCATCACATGCCACTCAATAGATTGGATTGGATTTCACTCAATCGTCTGCTTTTAGTCTGGCAGGAAATATGCATATTCAAAATGCCAAGATGGCAAATGCTTAGGCATATCAATAGAATTCAACAGTCACAAAACAAGGTTCACTTATTGTATTAAATTAAAAAAGTTAAAACTATATAATGGACCCAATTACAAAATTTTGAACAATAAGGACCAAATTGAAAGAAAATTGAGTAAATTCTAGAGGCACAAGAAACAGTTAAATCAAACTATGGGGTTCAACTTTCCCAAGTATTTACAAAAAAACACTCTTTGATGTAACATTACCTTAGAGACAGTCTCAAGAAACATGCCTGGGCGTACTGGAAGTGGTTTCCGTCCTGTAACACTTGCCTGGACATCATGACAAGTAAAACACAGGTCATGAAATGGAGTCAAAATAAAACAAATACAATCTATACACATGGCCACCCTGATTAATTGGTAAACATAAATGCACACATCCAATTTAACCCACCCTTCCAGCAATTCCACTTGAAGCCTTTTGCCCAGCAGCATCTTCATCGTCAACAATGTTGTCTGCACCCTCATCTTTTCCTAGCATTACATTTCTTATCATATCCAGCACAGTTTTCCCAGGTTTTATTGCCACCAATTTGGTTAAGAAATTCACCTACATTGACAAAAGTTGTAAAGATGCTAAGGGTGATATAATATTAATGACAACAAATGATGGTGAATAATAAAGCAAGCTTTTAGATATCTGCATTACTTCACATACGACAACAAAAAATTTTATCCTGCTGGGTGGGGACAGCATTACTTCATATATATTTGAGATTTCCAAGTCCTTTTACAAACATACAAAGTTCAGATGATACAAAGCTAAGTATTATTGGGTAGTATTTCACTCATGTGAGAACCATACTGAGATTGAAATATGAAACCTGCAAATCAGCATACCTCAGATTGAGGAAGGGTGTACAAACCCCGGTTATTTCTTTCATCCAAAATCCCACCTCCCATCATATCTCGGGCTTCTTCTCTAATCAAAACAAGCCTTGCAAGTAGTTTTCGATCAGGTACAACAGGCCGAGTTTCCATTGTCTGCATATATTGTTTAGCACAAGACAATTAACCAAACAAAGTCAACAATCCATGTGGCTGCTTCAGACAAGACATGGGAAAACATGTCATTCAATTCAAAGATTTGAAAAACCTTGCTATGCAGTAATTGCAAAGCTAGAGGCTAAAAAATATTAGAACTTAAAAGACCAAGAACTGAAGTCTATAATCTATTTAACACATATTTTTGATAACACACTCTCTCTTAATACATGATAGTGTAAAAGCTATGAAATAATGTTTGCCACATGGCAAGAAAAATTACAATAGAAAGCATTTAAATTACCAACTCATCATTTCCATTATTAAATGTCTACAAAAATTCACTTGAAATTAGTGCCATTATGATCACATTTTGTCAGCTTATCTCGTCATTTTTTTGATGAATGAAAATTATTTAAGAGTAAAACTAATGAAAGAGAGCAACATCTAAGCCAGTAAGTGCTGATAAAAAGGGGAGCAGAGGAACCTGAAAGCATCAGTAGAAAAAGACTATTTGTGGAAATATATTTGCTTTTATTGTAAATATCCTATAACACATGAAAAGAATTCCATAATTGTCATATAAAGAACAAAGCATAATCATGCCCAAGTAGCCGCCAAATATCATTAAGAGATGTGTTGGAATGCTGTAATTATGGTCTTACCTCATTTTCTGATTAAGCTGGTTTGTCACATGGCATATAGGCATAAGAGTAAATTTATTCATTTCCCATTTTATTTCCATTTTATGTGATTGTGATCAGATGAGGTCCTTTACTATGCATTTATTTTGCTTTTTTATTGTATTTTATTTGCTGCCTGATCTGGTTATTTAGTATGGATTTTCAGAGCATAGGTTTCACTTCTAAGTGGTGGCTTCATTTAAGGGGCTGAGTAGTAGATTTGTTGTCATTTGCTTCCCTATATAATTTCATCACCCATCATGAATAAAAATAACAAAATTCTTTTTTTGGCCAAAAATAAAAATAACAAAATAATCAAAGTCATTAATTTGTGAAATTCTTCAAGATGTTTAAAAATTTAAAGGCTAGAAATATAACCTAGATGATAATAGAACGCATGAAGTTTCTAATATATACCTCTAATAGGTCATCAGCTTGATTAGCTATGTCATTTAGATTTGCCTTTGGGATATGTATCTTAGTGTCATTCTCGCCTTTAAATACACCACCACCAGCTGCAACTCGTCGTAGTAATTCATATCTGCTTTCTTTTTGGGGAGTTCTACAGAGAAGACCAATCACTTGAACCTAGAAAATGGAAAACATGCGCATGATAAACACCATAAGGATAGATTCAACCCTTCAACCAGAAATTGATCAGATAATGGCCCAAAGGAAACTCCTTACATGCGGAGGACATTTCTTTGTTAAATGTGATAACACAGTCTCCTTGATCACTTCCAACAATGTCTTACGCTGGAAAAAAAAATAAAGAAAAAACAATATTTATTGTTAATATCCAAACACAAGTTCATTATGATCTCTCGGACAACTGAAAGTAAAATCAAGAAACAGCATCATCAATTGAAATAATAGATCAGTTGACAGTAAGGAAATCATTAAAAAAAAAAAATCCCTATAAGGGATGAGGGACAGCAAGAAGTCTTGAATTTCAATTCAATGTTCCTTCTAGAGGAAAGAATAAATTATAGTGTGCTCGTATGGTTTAAATATGTTTCAGCCACTAAGAGTCCATAAGAACTGAGTTGAGCACAGAGAATACGTAAGATGAATTAATAATGCTATACCCAAGGCATTCATGCATAGTAAGTATAATTCATCCAAATCCCACCTTCAATTAAATGATAAAGCATAATGTAGGTAAAAAACCTGCTATGTAATTTAGGCAACATCGTAATTTTTTAAAGTTTACTGCCAATGAAGGATTGAAATCTTGATACATGTAAGATCACTGTTGGTGTAGTAATCCTTGTTTTGAAGCTTCCATAATGTACTGTTGTAGCAAAGATCCATCACACTTCTAGGAAAATCAACCTATCTTCATTCACTCCAACTATTTTTTTTTACTTATGTCTGAAATCACAAAATTTAAAAATGTAATATGAATGTTGACAGGAATTGAGTTGATTTTACATCACAAATGACTTCACATGAATTGCATCCACAATTACATGCTACGATTTGTTTTTGATGGCATACACGCTATAAGTAACAATCCATAGAAATTAAGCATCGATAATTAGTATTTTCTTATCAATCAAAAATATCATCTAGTCACTGGATTCTTAAAGCAAGAAACAATATCGCATGAGAACTTCCACATAGTCAAATTTACCACCAAAACTTCCATGTTTCAACAAAAACAAACATATTATATAAATTGACAAACACTCTTTTAAAGATATTACGACCAAATCTTCTCTTAATTAGTGTATGATCTTTGAGAGCTTCTATGTGAAACTGACTTGGCAAGCTTGCTTGACAACTAACTAGAATGGAATTGAAAAATTTCAGCGTGAAAATGATACCTTGTCATCTTGGTCATTCTCAGCAAGTTGGATCATGTAATCTAAAGCCATCATGAAATTTGATTCCATCTCATCAACTCTCTTTCCAATAACTCCCTGTGCAGCCAACTCCACTGCCACTTTCTCAGAAGCTTCATCCATGTTCATGTCTTCCAACTGGACTTAAACAGATATAACAAGCGATGGGGTTTCACAAGTAACATCTACATCAGGATTTCACAAATAACATGCAAAGACCACATGTAGAATTACACAGACAAGGTCAAGAAGACAACTTGCAAAATACAAATAAGTGCATTAAGGTTCGTGAGCAACATTACACACTAGAAGTTCACAAAGAAAATGTAAAGGCCCCAAGAAGGATTGCACAAATACAATTCACAAACTGCAACTAAGCATGTTATGAACTGAAATTAATCACATCAGTTATCTTCACTAGGAAGTGTAAAAGGACGGCATGCATAGATTCAAAGTTCTGATCAGTAAAAACACTAAACTGTTAGAGAAATATTAATATTATATGTTATATAGGTGCTTTTCTTGTCAATGGACAATGATCAAATATGATAATCAGTGTCATTTTGTCCACCCTCCAGACACTTTACAAATTATTGACCCATACAAAGGAGCTGCAACTTCTGCTCTTGTATTAATGAGCCTTAAACCAAATGAAATGGATGTTTCTTCTCTTGTATTCATTGCTCATTGTTAATTCTAGGTTTCTTTGAATTTGAAAGTTATAATGGAATTCATTAGAGGAGTGTTTCAAATAAAAATAATTTGTTTCTGGGTATATGTACAAATAACTTCTAAGGCAATCGGTTCTTGTCAGATCAGGTTGCTGGATGACTTCCTCCTTGTTGCTGTTGCTGTTGTTGTCTTTGTTTCTTTCCGGTTTGTGTTATTAGTTTTCTATGTTGTTTCACTTTAGCTTCTCTGTTGTTAGTTTGTCCAGTTTGCCCAAACTTTGTTTGTATTTTGTTTTAGCATTTGTGTGGTGGGCCAAAGAAAATAGTGTTACTATTCTTCTTACACTTTTATATTGTAAATCTTTTTCTATGGCTTTGGCTTTAATTAAGTTGGCTTTTTCTTTCCAAAAAAAAAAAAAGACTTCAAGCAATAACTTAAACTTCCGATTATTCACAAAGCTATACTAGTTGATCAAATGAAAGGGTGAACTCCAGGATCTAATCAACACAAATGAATTCATGTCTTTGAATTCAGAATGAAAAGAGAACTTTTTTACTTCATATATCACACGTCTTCAGTAACTATCTCAAATTAGTACATAGAATCTTTGTTATCAGTACCTTATCCTTAACCTAAACATATATTTTTCATCACTTCTGTTGCCCATATCATTATTGTACTTGTAATGTTCATCAATTCACCTAGTCCTACATTATTAATCACTCTCCCAAAGGGATATTCACCTATACTCTTTGCAAGTGCCCAAACCAATATCTCTAATTCTCACATAACCCCCTGAAGGCCTCAACTAAAATTAGTTTCTTGTCATTGAAGTAGAGAGGAAAGCTTTTCACCTTCATTCACATTCTAATGCTGATAAATAATAGAGTCCCAACATTTGTATAATCCAAACCAAATACCCAAAGAATTACAAGATTAATTGACTTAACGTGTCCTTAAGTTCCAATTTGCAGAGTCATCATAGGAGGTTTAATATTTATCCCTGAAATGAAGACTAAAATGATAACTGATAAGTCAGTTGAAGTCAACGAGCCAGGAAAGATAGATTGTTGCTATGTACCAGCATGCATTGTCAAAATAGCTGCCAAAAATCATTCTAGTACCATAAAAAATTTAGCTGGAATGCAGCCCATTAACACCCAGTTAAGATAATAGGCCTAATATGACAGCCCATTACCACAGAAGATCACCAAAATCCCCAATACGGTACAGGAAATGATTATAGGCTCACAAAAAGATCACATTATTAACCCCAAAACACCTACACAATCAAACACACACACGCACACGCACATTTTGAATACACATCTCCTTTTGCAAACCAGAATGAATGAGATATAAGATTCCACCCCAGAACTACTCATTTGCATCTAGTCTAATATAAGAGGTTCCACTTATGAAAGGACAAAAAAACAATTCCTTCATTTGAGAAGAACCCTATTAAAAGGAGGAGGCAAAAACTTACAAGGGTAATCATTTCCTGGAGAACAGAGATGACCTGTTCTCCTCCATTGAGGAGAGCCTCACGTTGAGAGGAATCCAACCGTTGGTTCTCTCGTTGTTGGGGTCTTCCATATCTGTCTTGTACATCTAATTCCTCTTCTGGGTAGCCTCCACCCACTTCGTAACTTGTACTTGACACAAAACGCTGCGTTCTCCTCTTCGGTCGCTTTAACTGCAACCGTTGAAAGTGGCATGGTTGGGAGGACGTTGGGGTTGGAAAACAGTGAGCGAAGAGATTAGAAGACACACATGAACCAGCAGGGAGGAAGAGTAACGTGCTCTGGAACATCCCGTTGCCTCCTTCAGTTCATCGGAAAGGATAAGAATAATTTGCATTTTTTTAAAAAGGTCAAAAAAAACAAAAAAGAAAACAAGAAAAATAGGGAAATTACATAAGATACGCCGTCTGTGGGAATCGAACCCACGACCACATGGTTAAAAGCCATGCGCTCTACCGGCTGAGCTAAGACGGCGAAATGTGAGATTTAGTTTTTTTTTATATAATCAACATTTATTTGGAATCAAAATATCTTTACACCAGCACAGCGATCTGAAGTCGTTCATCATCCACCACCATCTATCATAAAAGAAGGAGGATGATCAAATTGTAAAGAGTTTGAGACTAAACTGCGAGAGAAGGTAGCGAGAAGATCTGCATGTGCGTTCTGTGATCAGCTTTTTCCAATCTCTAATTCTCTAAAGTAAAGAGATCTTGCTTCCTCCACAATATCTACAAAAGAATAATCACTTTTACAACCATAGGTGAGACTAGAGACAAATACATCCCTTAAGTTTAAAGAAAATTGCAAAAACAATTCATGTATTTTAATATTTTGCACCATTTGGCTCAAATATTTTTCACCCCTTAATTCAATTTTAAAAATTTTGGGTTCAAAAATTTTTTAATTATTAGTTTTAAAAATGTTTCACCTCAATCCTGGCACCACCACTAATTATAGCCCTTTAAAATCAAGAAAATGGCCTTCATGCAATAATCTATATACACGTCCACTCTTCGAAAACCTCTTAACCATCAAATGTTCAAACCATAGATCAGACTAAAACCACATTTAATTTAGCAATAGTTGGGCGCACTGCATTAATTTTACCACTAAAGCCACAAACCTACTGTAGCTGCTGATCACGCATGACACTGGATATGCATTCTGCAATGAGCACCGCATGCTTATCATTTTTGTGGATCATGTTGATCCTTCATTTCATGCTGAAATAATCTTTTATCATTCATTTTAAATTAGTTTTTATATAATTTAATATTATATTTGTGAAAATAAAAAAATTTAAAATTTTAAAATTAAATTTGAACTGTATTTAATATTAGTTAGAAGATGAGCACCATAATACTCATCGCAAATATAAATTTTTTGTATTATTATTAATTTTTACTTTTACAAATATAATATTAAAAATATTTGAAAATTAATTTAAAATGAACAACATGCATATTTCAAGATAAAATAAAAGACACCCATGAAAATGACGAGCACATGCTATGTGATGCTCAGCACAATAATGAGCATAGAATGTGTATCCCATGACATCATTATATCTACTACTAGCTTCTCCCCAAATTGAACCATCTACCTCAAGTGTGTCATCACGATTGATAAGTTCACTTCTCTTCCTCTAAGAATTAATAAAGAGGGTGCTCCTAATGAGTTGATCTCTTTCCACACAAACTCCATAACAAGGAGACAGATTAGATGAGATTTTCTCTAACTGGTTAGAACCAAAAAACTTATTACCTCTTGTAACTCATATATCTCAACATAGCTAACCAAACAACATTTTATTTTATATTACCATTTTAAAACTCAAAATATCAACATTCAGTATCTAATTATGCCTTGAATTAAATTATTTCTAATTAGAAGATATATGCATTTGAATTGTTGCTTTCCATTGACTTTAAAAAGAAAAACTCCCTCCGTCTTATAATAGAAATTCTTTTGGAAGAAATTTTTTGTTATAATTTACATATCTATTTAGTCTAGGGAGAGTGATAAGTAAGGATCTTGTAAGGAAGTTAATGTCAAATTAAAAATTTCAATATTAAAACATAAGAGGAGGAGTAATGAATTTAAAAATGTTAGTATTAAAAAATTTAAATTTGACATTAATATTTTTATGGATTCCTTACTTGTCATTCTCCTTTTAGTCTTTATTTGAGATATTCCAATATATTTTATCCCTTTAAAGTCATTTCCCCATGGCTAATTGGCCATGTACTTTGTTTTTTTTTTTTTAACATTATGTTTGGGAGATTTTTTTAGGGGGGAATGTAATGAAGTGGGATAGCTAAATGATATAAGTCATTGTTTGATTTTTTTTAAAAAAAAAAGAATGATGGAATGGCAAGGAATGGCCTCTAAAGCTCTCCTTTGCCATTCATAGCGTAATATTTTTTGTCCTCCCAAATTAGAAATTTAAGGATGGAGTGATACAATATAATTATTTCATTTATAAAATTATCCTAACCTCCTATCCTAATAAAAAAATCTCATCTGTTATTTTTATTCTCCAACAATCTCTCTTGCCTCTTGCTAGAGTTGTACATGGGTAAGGTTGCGCTAGGCATCAGCCCAATTTGATGTGAACTTGTTGGATATATCTTATAATTATTTAATGGGTATTATTATTTTCTTTAAATTTAGTCATATGGGTAATATTGAAAAGTTTTAAACTATTCCGTTCCATTCATTTTATAATAACTCTCAAAAAATGGTCATGTGAAACTATTCCTTCTCATCATAAAACTCTCAAATAATAGAAAATTTTGTTTTATTCCACTCCATTCCATTTCATTCCATTAATGACCGTTCATTTTTATTCAATCATAAACTCCCAAACACACTCTTAATCTTTGGCCAATCGTGTGGCATTTGATGATGATTGATTCCAAATTTTCGTGACTTTAAATTGCATACCAGATTATCACTCCACGATCCAAATACCATAATCTTTTTTATTTATTTTTCCATTATCATCCCACGCAAAACATTTATAAAATAATATTTTGAGAATAAAATTGGCCAGTTTAACAGGTTAAATCCAGTGATAAGCTTGATTTGATTATTGTATAAAATCATCCAGTCTAAGAACCATCCAAGAATTCGTTGAACCATTTTCAAACTAGTCAAAACTGATAGAATCGATGAGTAAGTTGGTTGGACTTATCCTATTATTTTTCAAAAAAAATTATTTTTATTTTCAAAAAATTTGAATCATATTTATAAACTATAATTTATAGATATTTATGGCTAATAAGCACTGATAACTGAAGAAAAATGAACAAAATACACAATAAATATGTATGGAATATGTACATATGTATATATTTTAAAGTTATAAATTATAAATTATGAAATATTTATATATATGATATTATCTTTTTTATTTTATATTATTTTATTTGAAATCTAAAAATTCATTTTTATTATTATATATAATTATTATCTCTTATTTTAAATATATATTATTTAAAATATATCAATTTAATCATGAACAATTGAATCATGGTCAGACCGTTGAACCATAAACTAATTCCTCTTTCAATTTAATGACCAGTCTAGTTCTCTTAACAATGTTATAAAATGCTATTCTTTTGTGCTTTCTCTTGTGGATTCCAGCCTTTGATATCCCAAGCCTAAATTGACTATTTTAACCCCTTTAATTTTCAAATTAAATCCCATACTTAATCCCAATCAATTCTTATTTCTTCTAAGTCTTAAAAACAAAATTTTAGATGTTACAACATGGGTCTTAAAAGAGTCAAATAGACATTAACTTAAAAAAACTTATCATTCCAACAAAAGGAGAGATCTTCTAAAATTCCTAAGAATTCTAATGCAATACTAAGATGATAACTAAGGTGTTTTAATAAGATATTTTATATCCAATTATCTTTATCATCTTATATGAGACCTCCACATGCTGTTGTGATTTGTGGCATTAAAATTAATTGAGCCATTTATATTCAGTCTAACCCACCTCTCTTTAGGTAGACACCAACTTAAATAATCTCTTATCCACTCTCCTACGCCAATCCTCATATGACTTATTATTATGGGATTTAAATCCTTTAAAGTTGACATTTGCCAATTTGAATAAAGTTTTCCTTTTTTATTTTTTTCTCATTTAATTATTTTTTTATAAAATATATTTTTTTCTTCAAATGGCAAACTTTACGTAAATTTATAAATATCAATTTCAGCGGATTTAAATCTATTAGCATAGATAGTTTGAATAAGGTTAAAAGACATTGACTATTCCACTTAAAATAGACACTTCCCTAAACAAAACAGGACACAATTTAATAACCCAAAAGTATATATAAGAGAGATGAGTTCTTGAACTTGTATAAATGAGAGGAAGATGTCACACACACACGCGGGTACCAGTAAGATTAATGTGCTAACCAATATGTCCTTTCAAACTAACCAATGTGTATTTTTTTTTCTTTGGTAACTTTAACCTCTAATTACATGAATTACGTTTTAATATAAATCACAAAATTTCATAACACCATATGAATGACATTGTTTTAGACACATGGAATACATTACACTAAGAGTCATCAATCGTCTCTAAAAGTCTAATTAATATGAATCGTGTATTTGAACTTATTTGGTTAATTGAATTTGTTGATCATTCATGAATAATAGTGAAAAGCCAAAACTCTTCAAATAATGAATTTTATCTTTTTGAAATACTCACTCACACTTAATCTTTAATTGCCAATGTATCACAAAACTTCGTTTACCCTCAATTGTAATGATTGAAGCTTGTCAGTTGAACACAAACACAACAAATTGAAGAAAGGCTGGGAGTGGGGTGGGGGAATTCAATAACTACTTTTTTACTCCATCCTTCTCATTTATGAGGCATATTTTTGCAATAATTTAATAGAAAACTATCAATAAAGACATTTGATCACACTTATTTTAAATCAAAGCCTTAAATTTTTAAAATATTATTGTAGGTCAAAGGTATTGATTTGATGTAAAAAATTTTAAAGAAATGATAAAACCGTCCTTCATTTAAATTAATATCAGAACTGTCATATTTCACTTGTTCATTGCCGAATTTTTCTTGTTCATTTACTTACAGAATGTTGTTCATTTTTCTATTTCACTTGATTTCATTTTAAATGTTTAAATTATTTTAAAATAATTTGTTAGTTTCTATACTGTATATTATTCATCTACTTATAAACTATTATTTATCACCCTACTTTCAATTGATTTCACTTCAGAAAAATGAACAAGTAAATTAAGATAATGAACAATATTTCGTAAATATTTTTTA